AACATGGGAGATAATCCGTACAAGGGTCTATCTCATAAACCCGCATTTGAGATCAAAGAGAGTTTGAAAGAAATCAACAAAAGGAATGGGATTGTTTATTACTCCGTCCCAGAGGATCCTGTCATAAAACGAACAGTCATCAGGAATAACTCTGCTCTGACCACTGCACCAGCCCACAGCGACAGGGGAGGGGAGCGCGGGGCAGGAAACGGAGAGGGATTCTGTCACAGAAGACAATCAAGGTTGTTTGCGGGAAAATAAAAGGGTTTCTCTTCGGTAAATAAGCCGTGGCTTCACAAAAGCGGTGACAGGAACCGAGGAGGGAGCGAGGCTGACACGGACCCCGCCTGACCCCCGGCCTCAGGGCCGGAGCCGCCTGCCCCGGGACGGCTGCGCCCTTCCCCGGGCGGCGAGAGACCGAGGTTTAGGAGGAAAACCCCGAGCCAAACACACGCATGGCCCGCACACCGACTCACCCAAACACAGCGCACCCACCCCACGCCTCACCGCGGGCCTCGGCGGCCGCACCGACCCGGGGGCGACCCCCGCTGCCCCCGGGGCGCGGGAGGCGCCGCTCCGGCACAGCCCGGGGGGACGCGGCCCCCGACCTGTCACAACTGACACAGCGGGTCGTGCCCCCCCAGAGCCACGGACGGCGGTGACCCGCGGCCCCACCCCCGGCGCGGAGCCCCAAGGCGATCCCCCCGCCGCCCCCTGCCCGGGCCGGCCGGGGCTCCGCCGGGGGTGACGGCGGCGCCGCGCGCTCCATCCGCCGCCGGCAGCCCCGCAGGAAAAGGCGAGGCGTCCCAGCGCCCGGCAGCGCGGCGCCAGGCCGGGCAGCGCCGCCGCGAACCCGAACCCTGCTCTTCACTCACCGGCATCATCTCCGCAGCCGTCCCCGCGCCGGGCCCGCCGATCCGTGCCGGGCCTCTCCCGCCGCAGCCGCCGCCGCCTGTGTCCGCGGAGGACGCCGCGCTCGCCCTGGCGGCTGTGACAGGTGCCTCCCGCGCGCCTCGCTCCCCGCAGCGGGCGGAAGGAAGAGGCGAAGGCGGCGACGGCGGCGGCCGGGCTCCCAACCCCCTTCCTCCTCCCCCGGAGCGCGGCCGCCTCTCCCGCCTCCCTCCCCAGGCGCTTCCTGCTCCGCTCCACCCGCGCCGCCCCGCCACGGGTTAACCCGCCGCCGCCTCCTCGGCCGGGGCGGGGCCGCGCGGGGCGGCGCTGCGGGGCCGCACGTGACCGCGGGGCCGCGCCGGGAATGCGGGGCCGGGACTCGCGCCCGCCGCCCGGACCCGCCGGGGCACCCCCGCTCCCCTCAGCGCGCAGCTCGCCCCGCAGGTTCTTCCCGGGCTCGGCACCTCCTCCTCCCGCCGGCGCTGTGCCGCCCTGCCCCCGGGCCGGGCCCCGGCGGGCGCCGCCTCCTCTGGGCAGGTTGCCCGGGGCCGATTGCCCGCGGCCCCGGGCGGTGGAGGAAGGGGCAGGGGCTGCGGGCTCTTTCTGCCCCCGGAATGCGGGGAATGCGGGGCGGCTCCGCTCGGCCCCGGGCGTGCGGGGGGAGCGGGGCGGTGACACGGGGCCGGGGCTCTCCCGTGCCAGGGAGCTGAGGTCGCTTCCCAACAGCGTGTCCCGCTCTACTGAAACACACCTTGGTGGCTCGGGTAACGTCATGTGCAGCGTCACCTCCCTTATACCGGCCCTTCCTCGTGAAACCCGCCTGATGTACAAAAACTCGGTTTAGCAGCGGGAGGGGAAGGTATTTTCGTCCTGATGTCAGACTCATGAGATCTGGTCTCGTGTTTGAAAATAAGGGTTAGTTTCTTCATTTTCTGGTCTCTTAATTCTGTAGAGCTACAATAGCAAGATGAAAGTTAACAGCTTGGAAGAAGCCAAGCTCAACCAGGAGTCAAAACATCACCATATGTTGGTACTGCAACACATGCAATGTAAACAAATTTCATATTGCTCTGAGCCTTAAACCCTAATCTACAGCATGCATGGACCTACCCAGTGCTCCAACTGTTTCTGTAAATGGCTGTTTTCCAGTCTTTGATATTTTATTTGTAGAACACCATGACAGATCTCAGCAAGGAGTGAAAAAAATGATAACTTAGCAAGGTTTTGGGAAGCTTAGATGATGATTGTGTGTTTGAGGATAAGTGATAAAAGCATAATAATCTCAAATATGAGCTTGTATGGTAAGTGTAACCTATTCATGTAAGATTCTGTTACAGATAATTGTGTAAACCATCTTAACATATACATGCCTAAAATTTCATTGCCTATCCTTGTCAGTGTATTTGCAGGCTCTGGTGTCAGCTTTGTGATAGGTCAAAGCCTCTGCTTCTTTTAATTAATTGGTCTTCCAGGGAGAATCTGTTAGCATCACATGACAATACTTTGCCATTATTTTGTCACCACTAACTGGAGTGCAGCTCTCTGGCAATAACACTAATACTATAGCCAGGTTCTTGTAGACTGTAATTCTACTTCACACATGGAGCTTTGGAAATGGGCAAGACTGTGGTACTTCAGACCCCATAGGGAACCCTAAGATCTTCTCAGAATAATAATATTAACCCTGCAACCAGGCTAACACAGGCTCTAATGTGCTCATAGTCATCTATCTTAAAAAAAAAAAAGAAAAGGGGGGGTAGTGGGGGTTTTGTCTTCAAATTCATACTGAAATTTAGTCAACAAAATAATAGCTGTGAATAGAAATTTACTTGTCCTCTTACTATTTGTAGTCATTCTAATTTTCAACTAGATATTTCAAAATCCTAATTTTAACAGTAAGGGAATTGTGCACCTCTTGTCACATTTATTCTTTAAAAATTAGTCTTTGCTCATTGACCAGGTTAATTTTCTTTGCCAACAATTCTTAAACAATGGTTTATCATTTCTTTGCAGGTATACTTGATAGCTGACTTTCCCTGTTTTCAGTGAATAATAATAAAAACTAAAATACTATAAATATTACCCCACTTATACTTTCCCACTGCAACAGCGGGAATGCTGACAAAATGAAAAGTGGGAGAATATGATGTAGACAATTGCTGCTGGGAAGGCAGACACTCCTCCACGCAATTCCTCTGTTGGAATAATGGCCTCTAGTATAAAAGTTTGTCGACATTGTGTTGCTTTTGGTAGATGCAGGTTCAGCCAATGCAGCAACCAGACAGACTGGATACTGAGGGCTAAGAGGAAATGTCTTCAAAAGGTAAAGTACATACTTTATATGCAAGTCTGCTTCTACTCCTATTTCTGCTTACCTTGAAAACAACACTTGCCTCATCCCTTCCTATCTCCATTTTTCTATAGAAATTAGGAAAAAAAATATTAACCAATATTTACAAAGTATAAGACATAAACCTCAACTGCAGCATGGTAAATTTAACATCTCGACAGAAGAATCTTCATTAGCAGTTAAGAAACAGAGCAGTCATTATAAAATTTTCTGAATCCAACTTAAAACTACAAATGTTTTGTTTACTGTGAGCAGGAAAATGGTCACTTGTGATAATGTAGAATTTTTTTTTCCTCATTGCCCATGCATTACCATACGAAATGAGTGGTCCAACTTTGTAGATATTATGGTGCTTGGCCAGAGGGACCAATGATATCTACAAGTCGGTTGCTTGTCTTGGATAACTGAGGTTGCATAAAAGCAGTCAGGATTTGGGGAACGCCTAAGAAGATAAGGGAAGAGGATTTGGTTATGGAAGCAGATAAAGCCAGAGATACTGAACCCATATTATTTGCTTCCAAATCCATTTCCTTTGTGAAAGGTGTTCTAACTTTGTTGGCCTTTTTCTAAAGGAAAGGGTTTGTGTTTATTTGTTGGTGTAAGTATTGAAACGTTATACCTTTTACGCTCCTCTTGGCTCTTAAAAAACCCAGCAATTCTATTTAACTTTACAAATGGAAATCACTGTAGCTTAACAGACATTTATTCAACTTGCAGTACTTAAAAAAAAAAAAAAAAAAAGAATAGTGCTTATTAGTTATGGTATGGTTAGTTTTTCAGATTTGTACTGAGATTGTTTTTGCCTAGAAATTGAAATTTGATTGAAATTTATAAATTGTTATTTAGTGTTTTGTTAAAACACTTGAAATATATGAGTATGTAGAGAAAAATTACCAAAACATGACATGTATTTAATGCAGATTTATTGAAAAATGGGATATTAACTGCAGTTAATAAATTGTCAAACCTCTTATTTGACAACATTAGTCATAGGACAAGTAGAGATATCAAAAGATACAGGTGGAAGGTTAATGAAATTTTCAAAAGCACTCCTGATAAAATTCCAAATCTTACTTGTGTTTTCTCAGTATCTTCCAGTGAGATTTTCAGATGTAGATGTTTTTAAAGTTTTTAAAACTACCGTGTCTGAATCTGTCCTACTTCTTCTTTTTTATGCATAGACAAAAGGAGGAAAATGAACTTCCCTACCTTCTGAGATTCAAGTGTTCTCCAGTTTTGCATTCACTTGTTAAGATGTTTTTCTAGATCATAGGAAAATGTTTTCACACTTTAGAAGTGTCACAGGAAAATAAGTATTTCTTTTGAATTAATTTAACACTTTTTCTTTTCATGTGGTATTATTTTAAATAACAGATACTGCTATTTATAGCCAGGAACAGTGTCAAGAGGTCAAACATTTAGGGTGGGATCCATCCTATCCATCTTTAGTAATCTAAAAGTTATGCATGTAGTCTCAATCAGTCATCTAGGCTCCTTCTACAGATAATTTGGGATGGGGAGGGAAGAGAGGCAGTTCTGTTGAGATACTCATCCCGCTATCTAAATCTCCTGGTCTTTGAAGGTGCTATCTCTGTGTTGATTTAAGATGGAGCCTGGATGACTAGCTCTGGTTAGAGAGCAGACTTTTTGGATGGCTGCAGTTAGGATGGGTTCCCTCACAACCAGCAGAATAAAATCTCTAAAAAGTGAGCATGGGTGGGAGCATCGGGGCTTTTTGTGTATGTGTATTAAAGTCTTTTTTCTAAATAAATGAGTGGAGTACTTTATTTCAGAATACAACTCTCTCCTTTCAAAACTTGCATTTGCTGTAAGGCAGGAGGAACTGGCCCTGAGCAGGTAAGCAATTTGAGAAGCTGAATCACAGAAGTACTTCCAACTTGCCAGGCAGTTAACGTGGTGGCTGTGGGTGCAGTGGTGTGTGACAGATGATACAAACCAAAAAGACTTAATGTTTTAAGGGGAGTTTCACAGCAGGAGCCTAAACTCTCTAGTGAAATACTGTGTAAAGTAAGTGTGTATATTTAAAGGCAAGGTATTTTAATTTGTTCCTGTGGCCCTAAGTAACCTTTCATTCCAGAATCAAGCTGACTTTGTAAGGCTGCAGCCATAGGGAGTTCATACTGAACAATAGTCATATGCTGCCATGTTTGAATTCATATAGAGCCAGTGCATTTCAAACCCCACCAAACCTGTTCAGAGATAAATAAACTACAAATAACAACCTAAAGGAAACACTTTGATGTCTGTTTGGTATACAGTATTTGAGACACGTGAATAGGGGAAAGATATTTTTTCATCACTGCCTTGTAATATTCTAAAGTAATGTATGCTGGACTAGGTGACTCATGTTCTGAAGTTTCCATAGCCCGGCACTTGGTGCATCATTCTGAAAAGGAGCGTGACAATTAAAGCAGGAGTGAAGCTCTACGTGTGTGCAGCAGAGCTGTGTGCGCTTCCCGGGGATTTGGGTGTCTGGTATGTCATGTGTTTCAGCCCTGCCTTTGGTGGATTAGAGAGGTAATTTCTTTAAACAATAATATAAATTGTATTCCTAATCCCATACACATGATGCAAAAGAGTGTACTTAGTGGAAAATGCTGTGGCCTCATTGGGAATGTGTTACTATCCAGTCTTATAAAATTCCTACACCAACAGGTATTGTCTGATGTTGTAGCTACAGAAGATACAGTCTTATGAGACAGATGACATGCCATCATTTTTATACATGGAAAATCTTGTTCTGCTCCCCTGTAATTTATAACAATGAAACCATTAACTATATTCAAAGGGGTGGAGAAAATAAAAACTTAAATGTCCTGGGAAAGGTGCTCTCTGCTTGTACCTTAAGGCTTATAACAATCTGGGGTCTCAAGATGTTTCTTTACAAAAAATTCTTTTCTTAAATTTTCAATATGCCCATGATGAGTGGAAGTATCTGGGACAAGCTAGATGATAGGTCTTTAGCTGAACATTAATTAGCAAGGGGACAGAGTAACAAGTCAGTCCTTCACTCTTTACTCCTTTTATTTCTATGCTATTGTGAGTGCACCACTTGGCTAATGTTTTAAGTCCAGCTACTTCATTTGTTACTGTAAGTCTCAAATTGTTCTCAGGTATCTCAGCCATGATTTAGTGAGTCAAGTACTCAAGTGTTTTTAATGATTCCTGTATGAAGTGATTTCAAATATTTTCTCTTTCAGGGATATACTGAAAGGTATTTCTTAGCGATTGCTGACAAACTGATGTGAAAAGGAGGCTTAGAGAGGAAAACATGCGAATGCTCTCAGAGAGTAGGAGAAAAAATTATAAACCAAATTAAATGTGTATTTAAAAAATACCAATCTATTTATACTTAGTATTTGAACAGCTACATTATTAAGACTACTGTGCTGAAAATAACATTCTTTACCTTTGTTTTGTGTGTGAACTCATCACAGATTTTACAGATCAGAATACATCAGGTAAGTTTCCTCCAAAAATACAATATAGTATTGAACCTGTTTAAATAAAACCCCACTGCAGTTGTAAAACAGGATATGGTTCTGATTTAAGATACACCTCTATGGACAACATTTCTGTGCTACATCTCTCTTACACATATATATAACTTTTTGGGCTTTTTGATTCCCAAAAATTGTCAGAGCATGTATGTTTCTCTACAGGTGTATACATTTTATTGTGAATCTGAGTTTTTCTGCCACAGCCACATTTTTAATAGTGAATTTTGATAGAACGGCATCAACATTCTGTTAATCTGGCCAGCAGATGAAATCTAAGACATTTGCAATGTTTTTTCCATGTTACAAAACTAAAAATACTGGGTTTTATTTTATTTTGTGCCTTACTGAGGCTTAAGGTCCATCTTTTCTAACTTTGTACAAAAATTCCTTTTCCAGGTAAAGCAAATGTTCTTGTCCTGGGAACAGTGACAGGACCCAAGGGAATGGCCTAAAGTTGTCAGGGGAGGTTTAGGTTGGATATTAGAAAAAGGTTCTTCACCCCTAGGGTGGTTGGGCACTGGAAGAGTGCCACCACCCAGGGAAGTGATCACAGCACCAAGCCTGACAGAGTTCAAGAAACGTTTGAACAATACTCTCAGGGACATGGTGTGACTCTTGGGGATGCTCCTGTGCAGGGCCAGGAACTGGGCTCGATGATGCTTGTGGGTCCTTTCCAACTCAGAATATTCTGTGATTCCATAATAAGACAAGTTGATTTTGTCTCCAAATACCCTGGTTTGTAATCTTCCAGAAATACATTTCTGAATAATTTTTATTTTTACTAGTGTGATCCTACAACAAGGTTTACTACAATTACTACAATTCTTAGCTGCATAAACAGAAGAATGTCAACAGTAAAGGCAGATGAATTGTGTAGGGCATTGATGAAACCTTATTAAAAATGATTCTGTGAAAAGCTCTAGAAATAGTGACAGTAAAAAATGTATCACTGGTATGTTTTTAGAATCTATTTTAGGTTGATTTATTCAAAGAATTTATCATAATATGAAGCTGAACCTCAGAAGATTTAAAAGGCTGGAAAGGAGTGTGTTCATCACGGAGGAGTACACCCAGTAATAACCTACTTACTGGGGGATGGTTAGATTACTTTAAAGGTTTGTCTATTGCTTATGACTCAAATTTAAAACCAGTATTTCTATTCTATAAATGAATAAAAGCTACAGCACAAGGTAAAGTAACTTGAATCTTCCCTTTATTTCTTCCATTTGCTATGGGAAAGTTCTAAATATGTTTTTCTTGCCTTCTATTTCTGTCCTTCTAGACAGGCATGAGTAGATGTTTAACTTACTAGCTTTAATTTAAAAAGAGGTGGGATAGTTAGTATTAATAAGAATACATAATTTGAAAGCAAGGTAAAAGTATTTTTTTGCAAGATTCCTTTTCTAGATGCATTACTCCAAAAGAATTAACTAAATCAAAGTATGCTGAAAAGTATTTATGTCTGGGTGTTTGTTTACATCTAGACACCTATTTGGGAGTCAGATCCTATGTTAAAATTGGTAGGACTGAAATTTTTAGCTTACTAAAAGCAATGCAGAATTTAAATTTTAGCTAATTATTTTAAAGAAGTGCCTTGAGATCCTAACGAGAACCAAAAGAATTTTCCTTTCAAACTGTATGTGATATGTTACGTGGAATACAATGTCAGGATTATAAGGAGAGAATTGTAATGTCAGGTGTAAGAGAATTTAAATGAGGCTATTTCTCTGTGCAAGTCCACTAACTTAAAAGGTATACCCAAAGCATTAAAAGTAGAGTCTGTAACAGTGCTGGAAAAAAGTATAGCTTGAGACTGATATATATGTATCTCCTCAAGATAAATAATGGAGTTAATTATAAAAGTGGAAATGCTTTTGGTTAGACCCCCCCCAACAGAAGGGTATCTTTCCCTGTATTCTTGGTCCCCTATCACATGCCTGTTCACATTCTAGTCCATTTTATTCTCCTTTTTTCTCCCATAATACTCTGGTTGTGTTCAGTTTATCGCTGACATTTTGCTTGTTTACACAGCATTCCATATGAAATATCTCACAACAGTTTCTACTTTGTACCTCAAAAAATTCCCCCTTAATTGCGGCAATTCTTAATATTATCAAAAGCATGCTAAACACAACAGGTTAAAACAAGAAATGAAGACTACAGCTGATACTGCACAAAAAGTCTGTGTAGGCAGCAGTCACCACAGATGGGATTCATTCAGCATACTGCTCTTAGTTCTACCACCCACCTAATCCCCATTATCATTTCCTAGCAAACACACTTCATTAGCTCTGAAGAAATCTCTGTTGTCTGTCCCAGCAGATCGCTGAAGGTACTGTTACGATACGGATATAAAATAAAGGCCACATCAATTAAAAAATATTGCTTTAGGTTTCTGGGGGTCATAATAATAAAACATATTTTCATTTGATAATAACAAATAAAACAATTGGATTTGATGAACCACTACCAAATTTGTATTAAGCACTGGGATGCCATCATACAACGGGGCTCCCTGTTCCCTACTTGTTTGTTCATTTGTCCAAATAATTAAGTGATAGTATAAACTCAAGAAAGCCATGTGCTGTCCCAGAGGAAGGAAGCAAGGCTCTGCCTTTGCTGAAGCACAAGCTGACATTCCTGATTTGTATACAGGGTGGGGTTCTGCATTCGTCTTATTCCTCTGGCTTTGACAGTGATGACAGTTCTTACTGGAGAGACAGTGCTTTGATCATGTGCGTAGCTGTGTACAAGGAGGAAGCTTGCACTGCATTATTGCAAGGGACACAGTGACTTAGGGAAGTTGAGTGAGTGAATGGGAAGCTAGGAATTCTGATTCTTTTGCCCCTTTTCTAGAGAAAAAAAAGGAAGAAAAGCTGTTGTGCTATAATGCAAGTTATAAAGCAGCTTTACTCTAAACAAGATCAGATGGATCCAAATTAAAATGGAAAAAGTCCCAACAAGTGCTTGTTTTGCTATTTGAGAGAGGAAGAGACCCATAAAATTATGAAAAATTGCCTGATCTGATTCACAAATAGTTGTGAATCGGCACAACTTACCCCTACAGTGTAAGGGTCAAAATGCCACAAGCTGGTGTAACTGCCAGAGCATTTGTACTGCTAAGCCATAACCAAAGACACATAGTGCCCTTAGCAGAATTTAATTAAAACTCCCAAATCATCCATTCTTGTGGTGGTCAGTTCATTTTGAGTTAGGAGAGAGTAACTGTTTCTAAGCACTTTGTCTGCAGCAGTGCAGTAGACTACAAGACTGTCTTGTTTGTGAGTTTTTCATAAATTACCAAATCAGTCACGTGGCTTTATATTCTTAAAAAGAATATTAGCTGCTAAATGTTAGTTGCTAAAGGTCATGGAATTATAGTTCACAGGGCTTGCTGTTCAAGCACTATCTTGTCACTTCTTGTTCCTCCATTTAAAAAATTGTTAACCAACATATTTAATGCCTCAGGGAACCTCCATCTTACTATTCTTTCCTTCCTAGTGACTTTACAGATTTCCGTGAATGGAACAATAGAGATTTCACACATTGACTTCCTCGGTTTCATTTCAGCCAGCTGGTGGTGATGTCACACACAATCACCTGTGTCTAATGAGCACCTGACAGTTTTCCTTCCTTAGGGACTGAAAGCACAATACACTTGTAGATACCAGCTCTGTATCAGGACGTATTTGTAGTACAGTGGTTTGCTGTCATGATTCAGATAAACAGGAGACTAGTTCAGCTGTTTTAGTTACTTTGGATCATTTCCTGCAGCTTTACTCATCCTCCAAATTAACATAAACACACATTTGGGTTTTTTCCAAGTCAGCCATTAAAGAGGTTAAGTAGGTTGAGCCGTGTGACTAATGTTTCCTTGGCTCTGACTGTATTTTGCTGCTCCCCTATAGTATTCCATAATACTTTATTAGCATGCAGGAGATACTCTGAGATTCCCAATTGCAGGAAAACACAAATGTCCAAGAAATCCCAGAGCCATAAATCAATCCAATGAGAAATCCCAGCCATAAGTAAGATCCAGCATGGAGGGGCAAATACAGAGGTACTTGTACTGTAAAAAGACCACATCTTGCATTTGCATTGTCATTATTAATACAGCTCCCTATTGTTGAGCTTTCATGTTCTGATTTAAGAAACCCACATTATTTTTTTTTTTTTTTGTCACAGCAAAACTTAGACAAGATGGTGCTGCAGGGACTGGATAAGGCTCCTCAACCCCTATGAATGTTTGTTGTTCCACTAACATGGCAAAAGTAGTAAACAGTCAGGTTTTGTCACTGCTGATGCCTTGTCACAGGCAGCAAACAAAAAAGGCAGTTGCCGAACTACTTTATTACACAAAGTTTAAATGTAATCCTCTGTTTCAGAAATGTCAGCAATATAGAGGCAGCAGCTAAAAAAGGAAACAACATGATCCACCAATGAGCACTAGGCATTTCCTCCACCAGAGTTTAGCTGTGAATCATCATGAATATTACCTCCTTGGATTAGAGTCCTGATTTTACATAGTCATTTGCATAGAAAATTGGCTTGTTCATGAGCTGACTATCTTCAGTATAGACACTTACCTGGAACAAGAAAGCCTTTTTTAAGTTAGCTTTAGAAATCACCCTAGCTAAATTAGAAAAAAAAAAAAAAAAGGCCCATATTCTAAAATGAAGAGTATTCACTTCAAGGGTGGGTACTCCTTGCAATGCTTCTCTACCTAGGGCTACACTCCAGGTGCTAGTGCTGCAATCAAAATTAATTGCTCCTTCCACACTGTAAATATGAAGTGGCCCTCACAATGCCTTAGCTATCTTTCCTCTATTGTCTTTCACGCTACCTGCTATTCTTTAGCAGAGGAGCAGGAAGTATATAGATATAGTACTACAGGTGTTACACATTGTGGGTGTGTTGATTTCTGCTTTTGAGTCAAGCCATGGATGGAATTTCCTCTTTTTGTATGATACTCGAGTAAGAAACCCAGAACATCTATTCAAACATAAACAGCAGTCTTACTTTGTTTATCTTCTGCAGACATTTGTGTTAAGAATCACAAAGGAGAGAATATTCTGTAGCTTTCACAGAAATTTCTGACAGAGAAGTACCAATAGAAGATCCACTTGCAGATGGCATTGTTTCAGTAGAAACTGCTGTTTCTATAACCTGGACACTGCTGCCTCTATGTACTTTCTTTCCCTACTAGAAAATTAAGCAAGTCAGATAGTTAAGACTTGAAGCAGGTTAAGTTTGGGTAAAAGTGCAGTTAACTGTGCTCCAAAGACAGGTTAGCAGAAGCTTCTCTTTTAACTAACACCCAGGAGATGAGACAGCATATTGTGCCTCAGTGGCAATGGTCTGGGTTCTAGCTAAGGTGAAGCAAATCCTGCAGTGATTAATGTTTTTTCCTTGGTCTGTTTTCCTCAGCTCTGTAATTGAAAATTGCTAA